ATAGGGAATCGAACCCAGGTCCTCTGGGAGAGCAGCCAGTGCTCCTAACTGCTGAGCCATCCCCCAGCCCCCGGAACAAGGGCATTGTCAGCATCACTGTTGACAACTGTTTTCAAACTCCAGTTCTGGTTATGTTGTGTCTATCTGTCCCAGACAGGGCCTTGAACTCAGGGCAATCCTGCCTCAGCTTCAAGGGTGCTGGAACTACAGGTATGGCTTCAAATGCCAAGAATTCTTAGGCCGAAGCAGGTGGATTTCTGTGAGTTCAAGGCCAGCCTGATTTATGTGTCGAGAACCAGGACAGCTAGGAATACACAGAGAAATCCTGTCTCAAAAAATAAAACGAATAAACAAAAACTGAAATACCAACTTTTTTCTGGGTTGAATACATTCTGATTTGTTCTTTCAGTTCAGGGCCTCTTGGAATGATTTTTTGGTTTGCTTTTTGTTTTTTTGAGACAGCATTTCATTCAACACAGGCTGGCTTCAAATTTGATATTACAGTGAAGGATGAAGGTTGATCTGATTTGCCTGTTTCCACCCCCAGCATCCTGTGACTGCCAGTGTACACAACCAAGCCCAGCACTGAACTTTCTGTTGTTGTTTTGGTTTTTTGAAACAGGGTTTCTCTGTATAGCCCTGGCTGTCCTGGAACTTAGTTTGTAGACCAGGATGGCCTTGAACTCACAAAGATCTGCCTGCCTCTGACTTCAAGGGCTTGGATTAAAGGTATGTGCCACCACTGCCTGTCTTGATCTTTTTTTTTTTTTTTTAATTAAAAAAAAAAAATCTTTACGTGGCCCTACCACAGCCAGGGTCTGAGTTGATGTCCCAGGCTCTCGTTCGCACTGAGGGCTGTGCAGATGCCCAGGGTCTGGTGAGCCATCTGAGACCATGTCGGGACTTGCTGTGACCAGAGCCATACTGATCTGGGAGGCCTGCACTATCACTGAGGGCCAGGGGGTTGTTCAGGCCAGGGCTTTGGCCAAAGGCCATGTCTGGGTCTGTGGTCTTGCTGCGGCTGGGGTCTATGTTCAAGTCCATGACCTGTGTTACGACAGGGGGTCATAGATGTTATTTATTTGGCAACATTATTTACCAGGCACAAGAAAACACGAGGTACAACAGAACCCACTATAAGAGTTTTTATTAGGGAAGGGAAGGGATGGAGGTGGGTAGGCCTACCGAAAAGAAAGATGTGGGGGGAGAGAGAGGGAGAGGGAGAGGTGCAAGCTACCTCTGGCGAGAGGGAGAGAGAGTGGGTAGCGGATAGAGCCTGCTCTTAGAGGTCACCTCACACATGTATATATGGGCTTACATAGCTATACCACACATGGGCATAGGTTACCTGATCACACTGCATGCAGATTACATAGGACATAAGGCCCTGGAGGGACTAAGCATTTTGCCTAACTACTGACAGTGCATACATGGTCATGTGACTCCAGAAGTGGCTAGGAATAATAACATTCCACCCTTTTTGTTATTATAAAAAGTAAGAGTTTAGGGGTATGGGGTGAATGGGAATGGGGCACCGTGTCTCTTGGAACTTCCTCCAGCTGAATTGGTGGGCACAGGTTAATGTTTTGGAGGGTGGGGAGGGGCTTTTCTTGAGGTAGCCAGATGTTCTAGGTAGCTGATTGTCTCCAATGCTGTTTTGAGCCCTGTGGAATCATCCAGCACTGCTTGGATCTAACAGCTTGGACCCGACAAGCTGAAGTAGATCTGACCTGTCCGGATGGGCCCAAGGCGACTCCCTGGAGCTCAGAAGAATTTTTAAGTTTACGAAGGAGACAAATTTTAGACATATTAAGAAGCAACCAAAGGGAATTTAAAATCCTGAGCTGATAGCTATGATATTATAGTGTTTAGTACTCTGCTATCAGAATTTTATTGGCTAGTGTTAAGGTTATGGAGTCATATAGCAAGAGACAGAGGGAGAGAAATCAGAAACATGCTTTCTTTTTTTTCTGTCATTATCTGTAACAAGAATCTTGAAAGGTCTTATTAATAAAAACAAACCCGGAGCCAGGTTTTGGGGTGAATGCTGAAAGATCAGAGAAGCAGAACAAGTCACAGCCACCTCATCTTGTCAATCCCTCAGCTGATCCTGTTTCCTCAGACTGGAAGCCTCTGTGTCCTCATCCAGAATGGATCTCAGTTGAACTGCTGCTCAGAAGCCTAAAAGCTTAACCAGTCTCTAGTTCCTGGTCCTCACACCTTATATACCTTTCTGCTTCCTGTCATCACTTTCTGGGATTAAAGGCGTGTGTCACCATGCCTGGCTGTTTCCAGTGTGGCTTTGAACTCACAGAGATCCAGACAGATCTCTGCCTTCGTAATGCTAGGATTAAAGGTGTGTGTGCCACCATTTTCTGGCCTCTATACCTAGTGGCTGTTCTGTTCTCTGACCCCAGATAAGTTTATTAGGGTGCACAATATTTTGGGGAACACAATATTACCACAATTATCAATTAGGCTTCCTATCTTCACCTGAGACAAACGTTAAGGTGCTTGTTTCCTTTCATTGTCTCAGTATCACTTCAACACCCAGGAGACACAGGTGATTGGGTGCTGAGGGCATTTAACAGTAATAAACTGCTATATTAAAGTCTGTTTTTGCAGAATCCAGACCCTTTTGAGTTGGGGGCGTGAATACCTCTGGAGTGTTATTGTTTCTTCCCGCCTGGGTGTATTTGCTGGTCCTTATGCCTCCAGCTCTATGGCTGATGGTGGTCCTGTAACAGTCAGCTGAGTAGTTAATTATAAATTTGAGTATGTTATTAGAGACAGGGAAACTGATGAAGCAGAATGTGGTTGGTAGAGACAGGAGAATGTGGAGAGGGAATCAGGAAAAAAAAATACATGGTGTTCCCAATCCAGTGGGATTGTGTACGGTTGTGGGATGAAACCTCATTCTTCTGGAATTGGAGACAAAGCAGGTGATCTCAGTGTCCTGTGGAACTTAAGAAAGCAGGAACCTGTTTGTGTTACCATGTATGGGGAGGAATTCCTCTGGATTGGGGGTGGGGTAAAGGTTAGGAGGAGGAGGAGAGGAGCTGCTAGAGAGTCTGGGGTCAGGCAAATGGGGGGAGAAAATGAAATGGAAGCCCCTACCTTGGCTAAAAAATAAGAGGGGTACCCCTGAAAATACAATTACCTGGTGGGGTCTGATGAGGTAGATAAGGCTGTCCCCCTACTCCAATAACAGGGAGATGAGGAGAGGTGGGTCCCCAAAACTCCTTCAGGACCAAGTAAGTGGCCCCGGTGTCCACGAGGAAGGAAATGGATCACCTTGATACTGTAACAGCTACCCGAGGCTCCCTGTGAGAGATGACAGTCGGGCCAGAGCCTGGCCATCTTCAGTCGTCCATGGCCAATCCTAGAAGGTTGGCTGGAGAGGTTTCTGCATTTGATGTCCTCATGCCAGCGAGTGCACAGGGGCAGTCAGCTGACCAATGTCCCTCTTGGTGGCACTTTGGACATGGCCCCAGTAGCCCACGTGGGGCAGGGTAAGCATGAGCCCAATAGGCTTCTCAATCACATTTAAAACAAGGACCTGAGGGCCCTCAGGCGCCTGGTCGGATGGCCTTGGCCAGCATTTGGTGTTCCTGTTTACGGGCTTTCTCATCTCTCCCATGGTACACCTTAAATGCCAGCACTTAGATGTCTGCTGTGGGGTCAGGGACCCTCTCTCCAGACACTTAAGTTTGGCCCTAATGTTGGGGAAGTTCTGCAAAAAGAAATGGGTCCTGAGGAGCTGTCTGCCCTCTGGGCTCTCAGGATCTAGATTAGTAAACTGTAAGAGGGCCTTTGTAAATCCTACTAGAGATTGAGACAGATTTTCTTGTCTGTTCTGAACTATGTCTTGAAGCTTTTCATAGTTTACTTGTTTGAGGGCAGCCTTAGGAAGACCTGCTAGGAGACAGGTCGTAAACTGATCCCTAGCTAGAGAGCCACCTGAGGGTTATAATCCCACTGTGGATCCCGATCAGGGAACTGCCTCAGCTCTGGGAGGATGTGCTGTGTTTGTCTGATGGACCTTGTCTGTATGTGTCCTAGCCAGTTCCCAGACTCATATGCACTCCTCAGGAAGTAGGTTGTTAGCAAAGGTCATGTATATATCCTGAAAGGGGAGACCATAGGATTGGGTGATATATTGGAATTGTTTAATAAAAGAGGTAGAGTTGGACGTATAAGAACCTATTGGTGAAATTATTAAGGCCACTCCATGTAGTTAAAAGGGAGGTTTATTTTGTGGGGTAATTTGCAAGTGAAGGGATAGGTAACAGGGTCTGGGGAAGGTGTGGCGCAGTCCAGCAGTGTTCCCTGGAGAACTCTGCTCAGAACACCTCCAGCGTCCAGGGTCCAGGAACCAAGAGAGACAGTGCATCTGGATCTCTAGTCTTCAGGGTCCTCTCTCGGGCCCGCCTGGTAGGCGTGACAGTTACCGAAGCCTCAATGGGGGTTAGAACTTCCAGGTCAAAGCTGGAATGGCTACCCATTACAAGAACCCAGTTTCTTTTCTATCTGAGAGAGTTCTGTCAGTGAGAAAGGGACATGTACCTTAACCAGTCCATCCACCCTGCTACCTCTCACAAAGGGAGGATGGTTGCCAGGTTGGTTTGACTGGGGTGGGGTTCCTTAGCATCTTGAAGACACGTGACAGGAGGAGTAAGGGTGGGAGCCAGAGTCGGGCGGCTGGAGTGGCCTGGTAGCAGAGAGGAGGAAGGAGCTGGCGGAGCTGAAGGAACAGTTTTGCTGGAAGAGAAGGAGCGAGAGGTCAGAAAGACAGGGGTTTGTTAGCAGGTCTCGAGTAGTGGAGAGAGGTTCCTCTGGGTCAGGTCGCATAGCTAGGAGCACTGAGCAGGTGAAGAGGAATCAAGGTTTGGAGCTGAGACAGAGAAACTTTTGGATATAAAGTAACTCTTTCCATTTGCCCGTTTGCTGGCAGACATTAGATAACTCGCGTAAGTAAAATATCGGTGTCCAGCGAGCCATTAGGTGATCATTTTTTTATTATTTGAAGGATATTTAGACCATTTTTTAGTGCAGAGGTGGAGAAGCTCAGAAGTCTGTGAGTAGGGCATTAAGTTTAGAGATTTGAAGATTTCCAAAAGGCATCCAGGAGGAAATGTGGGGCTTATGGGATCGGAGCCCTTGCTTCCCATGGCTGCGACAGAGAGAAAAAAAGACAAAAATAAATAAATAAATAAATGAGAACTAATAGCTTTAATGTCTCAGGCGTCTCAGAGATTAAGCGAGGATCGATCAAAGGCACAAGTCACTCAGTGTTCTGTCAAGCAAAGAGCGAGGGCCGGGGTAGTAGCCCGAGGACGAGGGTTCCAGAGACGAGAAATGAAGAAAACGAGGCCTCAGACCAAAGTCGTGGGGAATGGCTGGGGGTAATAGTCAGTGATGAGGGCCGACCATAGCCGCTAAGACTGTGGATAGAGGTACCCCCAGTTCCAAGGACACCAGAGGGACTCCAGAGGATCAAGTCATTCCCACGGGTCCAGGGAAGTGTTTACACTGACTGGTTAAAGGAAAACTCACCACTGACGTAGCCGGGGTTGTGTGAAGTGATCCGGCAGCCGGGCAGATGGAAAGCGAGTAGTTGCAGACGAACCAACCTCAGTTCAGGATCCCTGTGCAGGGAGCCAGGAGGGCCTGTTTGATCATGGTGCCGATGTTATTTACCGGGCTCAAGAAAACACAAGGTACGACGACGGAACCCACTATGACGGTTTTCATTAGGGAAGGGAAATGGTGGAGGTGGGTAGACAAATCAAAAAGAAAGGTGCCTGGGGAGGGAGGGAGAGGGGGAGAGAGAGAGGTGCATGCTACCTTTGGTGAGAGGGAGAGAGAGCAGGGAGCGAGTAGAGACTGCTTTTATAGGTCACCTTGCGCATGCGTATATGGGTTTACATAGCTATGCCGCGCATGTGCAATAGATTACGTGACCATGCTGTGCACGGATTACATAGGGCATAAGGCCCTGGAGTGACTAAGCATTTTGCCTGACTGCTGACAGCGCATTTGTGGTCATGTGACTCCAAAAGTGTTGGAATAATAATAAGAAGAACCATGTGTGTTAAAATCCAAGGGCCGTGCTGAGCTGGCCCCACTCGGATAGCTGGCCCTGCCCCTCACTGGACACTGCAGCAGGAGAGCTGGACCCACCTCTCACCTCCGGCATGGGAGATGTGGCCCCAGGGCATGGGCCTAGGAGAGCTACCGCCACACTTTATCTGAGGAGGGGCAGTCTCAGTGGCCCAGACTGACCAGCTCACCTACCACCCAGGTCCACATCCTGGGCCTTGGGTTGGCCCACTCTAACATCTACCCCTTCTAGGACCTGCTGGATATGTGAAGGGACTGGTCCTGCTGAACAATAGCTGCAGGATCTCCATGACTGGGGGCAACAGCAAGACACCTGAGAGGCGTTTCCATGAGGGTCCAGAGGTGATGGAGTGTCAGAGGCCTTGAACCAGACCAATGACTCATTGCGATGAATATTTGTGGGTGGGCTGATTGGACAAAAGTGTATTCTGCGTGACACACCTCAGCTCCTCATGCCACTAGGATGTATAAAGAGGTGCTGGAACGAGAGGAAAGACGGAGGAGTGAGGTGTTTTTTGTTTGTTTGTTTGTTTGTTTCCTTGCTTTATTTTGATTTTAATTAATTTTGGAGGAGCTTTCCTTTTGGGGGAATGCTGCAGTGGTGAGCAATGGATATGGAGGGACAGGGAGGTGAGCAGGACTGGAGTATATGATGTAATATTCCAAAGAACCAATAAAAAATTATATTCTAAGATAACATATATTAAACTGGGCGGTGGTGTCACAGGCCTTTAATCCCAGCACTCTGGAAGCAGAGGCAGGCGGATCTCTGTGAATTCGAGGCCCACCTGGGCTACAGTGTGAGTTCCAGGAAAGGCGCAAAACTACACAAAGAAATCCTGTCTCGAAAAAATTTCTTTAAAAAAAAAATTTAGACAGGGTCTCACTGTATAGCCCTAGCTGGCTTGGAATTCACTATATAGACTAGGTTGGCCTTGAACTTGAAGAGATCCACCTGCTTCTACCTCCAAAGTGCTGAGTTTCTTGGCTTTTTGAGACAGGGTCTTGTTACGTAACTCTAGCTTAGTCTGGAACTCACTATGTAGACCAGGCTAGCCTCAAACTTACAGCAAGCTCCCTTGGTCTGCTTCTGAGTGCTGGGATTTTATAGGTGTGTATTATACCTGGCTTCTTGTATTTGTTTTATGATTATAATGTTCAAATTTATTTTTCTTTATTTATAATCACTATATATCATTTTAGAAATTTTATTCAAGTTATTTTGAATTTTCTCATGCAAAAGTTAATCTCAGGGGCTCAAGAGATGGCTCAGTGGTTAAGAGCACTGGTTGCCCTTCCAGAGAACTCAGGTTCAATCCTCAGCACCCACCTGAGGCTTACAATCATCTGTAACTCCATTTCCACTGAATCTAATGCCCTCTTTTGGCCTCTGAGGGCACCAGGCAAGAATGAGGTGCATGGATATACACGAAAACAGAACACACACAAAATAAAAGTTAATTCAGTGTTTAGAAAACTGGGAAGCACTCCATGAATCAAAAATGTACCCCTCACCAAGCAAGAGTTCAAAGCCAGCCCGATCTATGTAGTGAGTTCCAGGTCAGTCAGAGCTATACACAGTAAAATCTTGTCTCAGACACAAATAAATAAATAAAGGAAAGGCGTGGCGCAGTCCGGCGGTGTTCTCTGGAGAACTTTGCTCGGTCTGCTTCCAGCGTCCAGGGTCCAGGAACCAAAATAGCCCCTGCATCCGGAACTCCGGTCTTCAGCGTCCTCTCTCACCCCACCTTGTAGATGTAACAGTTACCGAAGCCTCAGTGGGGGTTGGAACTTTCAGGTCAAAGCTGGAATGGCTACCCACTACACACCCTCTTTCCTCTGACTCTGTGATATTCCTGGACACACCTACAGCTCCTGGAATTCGGTTGAGTAGTTTGCTGATGTCTCCCTGGACTGCAATGTGGCCAATCAAAGCGCTTCCCTGTGTTCCTACTGCTGAGGTCAGTAGGTTCCACAGGCACTCACTGAGCTTGCTCTCATGTTGTTCATAAGACAGCTTGGCTCTCGCTATTCTTTTCTTTTCTTTTTCTTTCTTTCTTTCTTTTTTTCCGGAGCTGAGGACCAAACCAGGGCCTTGAGCTTGCTTGCTAGGCAAGCGCTCTACCACTGAGCTAAATCTCCAACCCCTCTTGATATTATTTTCTTCTCAGAGTCCCAACCTTGAACTCAGTTCATTAGCCTCAAAGTTCACTCGGGCCCACTAATAAGATGGCTCATTGGTAAGACTGGGGACCTGAGTCCCATGAGAAAACTGACTTCCTAAAGTTGTCCTTTGGTTTCCACACCCACCAAGTGGAATGGCCACACCCCCACTTACATAGGCATCATCATCAGACATACCGCAAATAGTTAAAACTTTAAATCATCCAGATCATAGACAAGGCATTTATTCAAGTCTTTGTTTATTTTTGGAGACAGGTTTCATGTGTCTCAGGTTGTCTTATTACTGGTTTGTTTTTTTGTTTTTGTTTTTGTCAACTTGACACAAGTTAGAGCCATCTGTGAAAGGGGACCTTAACTGAGGAACTGCCTCCATCAGACTGCCTGTAGGCAAACCTTGATTAATGGTTGATGTGGGAGGGCCCAGACCATTGTGGATGGAGGCACCCCTGGGCAGGTGGTCCTGGTTCTATAAGAAAGCAGGCTGAGCAAGCCACCAGGAGCAAGCCAGTGAGCAGCTCCCCTCCATGGCCTGTGCTTCAGTTCCTGCCCTGACTGCTCTGGATGATGGACTGTAAGCTGTAAGGTGAAATAAATGCCTTTCTCTCTGAGTTGCTTTGGGTCGTGGTATTTATTTCCTAAGTAAAAAGCAAACTAATACAGTCTCACACTTGCTGTGTGGTGGAGGATGACCTCTGATCCTCCTGCCCCCACCTTCCAAGTGCTGGAACTACAGGTATGTGCCATCACAAACACCTGGGAATTAATGTTTCTCTTTCTCATCCCTGGGAATGCAAGGTAAAAGCAACATCTGTCCCTCGTAAAGTGCATTGGACAATTATACTCTGCAACTAAGTTAAAAGCTGAAAAGGAATTGTCCTGGGTGAGATGAAATACTGGCAATAAAAATAACAACAGCATTTGCTGTCTGATTGTTGTGGACAGTTCAGAAACCCGTCTGGCACCATGCAAGCGAAACCAGACCAGAATGAGTCAGCATGGACCCATCTGTGCGGAAGCAGCACTTATATTGCAACTGAGATGGGAGAGAGAATATCTGGGGAAAGGAGAATTAGCTGGGGCTGAGTAAGGACTTGGAGAATGGAGGAGGTGGAAGGGACCCCAATGCTCTCCTCATTCATTGAACTGTTTGAGCTCATGGGCATGGGGTAGAGGCGGAACTCAAAGGACTGTTGGAGGGGAGCTTTGAGCAAGCTGCCACCCGAAGAGCAGGAAGCAAAGGCTCCCGGACCCTTTGCTTCTGTCCTGTGAGACCTGGAATCAATGGGAGTACTCTGAGATGGCAGCTGGACAGTCTCACAGCTGGCGGCAGGGGTGGGGTGGGGTGGGGTGGGGTGTGTGTCCAAGGGGAGCAATCTGGAGAAGATGCAGTGCGGGATCATGATGGGCACTTGTGACACCTTGCCTTTTGTTGCTCCCGATAGTGACACAGGCTCGTTCTGGAAGAAGGGGGTAAGGGTTCACAAAAACGAGGTATTACTGTATGCATTACTTATTGGTGGTTTGCGACCAAAATGCATGATAGAAACAACTTGAGGAAGAAAAAAAACTTGTCTTGGCACATGTTTCAAAGGGTTCTGGCCGAGTGGAGTAGCTTAGCTAACAGGGTGGGAGTGGGGAGGTGGAGGAGGGGGAAGCAAGGAATGCACCTGCTCTCTCTTACTCTGCTCTTTTTGCCTCTTTTAATCCACCTAGACGCTCAGTCCACAGAGGTGCCACCAACACTCAGGGTCAGTCCCTCCAACCCTACCTCCTCCACCCCAATTAGTCCTTTGGAAAAGCTTCACTGATACACCCAAAGACACCTCCTTGGTCTCCTAGGCGACTCTAAATCTGGTCAAGTTAATGATGAAGTTCTTACACTGAAGAACTTGTTACTTTGACTCCTATGATAATCCCTATCACAACTGAACTATCTCTTAGCCCCTCATTTCTCTTCTGCTATGTCATATTTTTTTCTTCTGGCTGTTAACATCACCTGCCCCTGTGGTGGGGTGAAACAGTCTAAATATTGTGTCTACGTCAGCTGCCTTGTTCTAGAATCACTAATAAGATCTGAAAACCACATTTGCTGTTATTTTGTCTTATCATACCAGATTATACAAATGGAAAGAGGTGTTCTGGACTGTCTTAGTTAGGGTTCCCATTGTTACGAAGAGACACCAAGACCACAGCAACTCTTATAAAGGGAAACACTTAATTGGGACTGCCTTACAGGCTTCTAAATTCAGAGATTTAGTCTGCTGTCCCTTCTGGATGAGCAGGACACAAGAAAAAGCGACTACTGAACTCTGCCAAAACAGAGTAAGATGGTCTTTCAAAATTCCTGCTTCTGAAAATGGTCTGTCAGATACTCTAGGCCTGTAGCCAATTTGAATGCACCAACAATGCTGAGAAACTGGTGACTGTTCAGGCTACTGCTGTCTCTGTCTACTGTCGGTCAACTCCCAAAACTTGCTTGCATTCATCTCTCATTTTCTCAGGTATTATTATATTTCTTCTCAGGTCTTTGATGAGACTGAAGACTAACAGTTATAGTTACAATCTTCTCATCTTATAACATATTAAGTATTAGATTCAGGTTCTTCAGGATAGGATACCATGATTTTTGTAATATGCCATTTACCTATGCTCTAAACTTCTCTAGATTTTAGTATGTGTCTCTTGTTTGATGTTGTTCTTGTTGGTTGTAGATCCATTTGTTTATGTCATTACCCTCTATTTCTCCTTGATAATTATTCCTATTGCATATAGTTTTGTGTTAGGTTAGAACTTCCTTCCTTAGACAAAAGGGGGAGATGTAGGGGTGGGTGTCTGTGCTTCATCCCTGAAGCACTGCCCCTAGTAGGCAGCATGTAATTGGTAGGTACCTGTTCCCACCCTGGGGTGTGGCAGAGACGGGGACCCCTTAAGACCTGGGATGAGTACGTGCTTGCTCTCTCTTGGCTACCTCGTGGTCTTGGATGCTGATGCTGCACTGTTGTTGTGAAAGCTGCCATGTTGAAGCCTGGGATACGCTCCAGCAGCTGTTCTTCAATGTACTTCTCTACCAGGGAAATACATTCATTAAAAATGGGGGTATGGATGAGTTCATTCTCTTCTGTGTCTTCAAACTCCTGGTAGTACTTGTCCATGAAGTTCCTCTGCAGTACCTGGAACTTGTCATCCATAATAACGTCCTCTAAACATCCAACCACAGCATCAAATTCTGCATCAGAGGCGGAAGAGGACAGTGCAAAGCTCTCTTCTTCTAGGGCGTCTATTGTAGGGGCACCGCAGTCATCAGCCTAGGCCTGTGCCCCCCCCCTCAAGGGCCCGCAGGAGGCTGCACCAGCGCCCTGCCCAGAAATCACGAGAGGCTGGGGCTGAGGCTCCCGGCTGGGCCCTGTGCCTGCCGGCTGGTCGCTTAACCACCCCCCTCCAGTCAGCAGCTATACAAGACCCAGCAAGGTTGTAGCTCAACTAGGGAGCTGATATGGATGAGCTGGGAGGCGGGGAGGGGACAGTACCTGTGGAGTCGTGAGCTGAACAGGTAAGCGCTGGGTCCCCAGGAGGGGCAGGAATTTTAAGAGACAGAAGCGTGAAAAGTGTGCCACAGTAGCCGCAGAGACTAAGGGCGGAGGCCCCAGACTTTGGGCACCAGATAATGAGGAAATTCCATAAAGTCTATCTGATAATCAAAGGGATTTCTTCTGTAACAAGCATAAAGGAGTTGGTAGCAGCACCCAGGAGGGATGGGGCTCAGTCCAACGTGGTTCTCTGGAGAACTCTGCCTTGATCCACAACACCAGCATCCAAGACCACAAGGTAGCCAAGAGAGAGCAAGCACATACTCATCTCCGGTCTTAAGGGGTCCTCATCTCTGCCACACCCCAGGTTAGGGGTAGGGACCTAGCAGTTACCTCCTGCCTACTAGGGGCGGTGCTTCAGGGAGAAAACACAGACAGTAACCCCTACATTAGTCCATTATCATCAAGTCAGAAAACATGGTGGAGCGTAGGCAGACATGGTGCTGGAGAAGGAGCTGAGAGTTCTTCATCTGGGTCAGCAGGCAGCAGGAAGAGAGAGAGAGACACTGGGCCTGGCTTGAGCTTCTGACACCTCAGAGCCCACCCCAGTAAGTGACATGTGTCCTCCAACTATTCCATATCCACTCCAACAAGGCCACATCTCCAATAATGCTGCTTCTTATGAGTCTATGGAGGCCATTTCCATTCAAACCACCACATGGACACAAACAAAATGGAATTAAAGATCCTACATAGGCCCTCTGGCCGTTACAGGTCCTGCCTTTGGAGTCTGGCCCAGACTTAATGCAGACTCCTGTTTTCAGTAACCCAAGTAATTACCATGATTCTCTAAATCCTGTCATCATTGGCCTAGGGATGAGCTCTCTTCAATCAGAAACCTACTGTGGGGTCCTCCACATCCTCACAGAAGTTCTTCGGAGCGGCTGAGGGAAGAGGATGATCACATTAACTGGGAGGCTTGCTCAGTGATTTAGACACAGGTTGGCATGCCTCTTGTTGACCCTCCAGTGACATCCCTGGTCCACGAACACTGTCATCATATTGAATTGGGACCTGCACTCTACCCTACAGTTTACTTGGGGGAACTGTACTGCAAACAGAATTATTCAAGGCCATTCTTCTTGCAAGCCTCCCAGGGTCTGCAATCTTTCCTACCTTGTCAGCACAATTTTAAGGCTAATTCATTTATTTAAGTTTTTTGGTTACATTTTTTTCATTTTATTTTATGTGTGAGTGTTTTGACTGCATGAATGTATGTGCACCGTGTATGTGTGCTTAGTGTCTTCGAGGTCAGAAAAGAATATCTGATTCTCTAGACCTGGAGTTACCTATAGTTGTGAACCACCTTGTGGGCACTGGGAATCAAACCCAGGTCCCCTGCAAGAACAAGTGCTCTTAACCACTGAGCCATCTCTCCAGCCCCCTCATCAATTTTTTTTTTTT